TGCTTGTCGTATCCTAGTTTTATAAGCATTCATTATATTTCATTTTTGTGTTTGTTGTACCTGAAATCAATAGAAGAAAATAAAAACTTTATAGTCTAGGTTGAAGTTATTTATATCGATTTAATACTTCTATTAAATTTCTTTAGCTTTTCTTAGAAGTCATTACCGATGCATATACTAAAGCTGGGCTTGTTCTAGAGAAAGATGCTAATCAGAAATTAAAGGTATTGTATATGATCTTTCTGCTGTGTCTGCTTTTGGCACTCTTAATTTTGGTTGTTTTTAGTTTCGCTTATATATCCCACTGTAAGAGTTAATACGTGAGTCTTGTCCTTTTCAATTGCAGTTGCATGCAACCGTGATGAATGCAAGGCATAGGAAAAGGTGTTGCTGCCATTTTTGTAGTGTTTTAAAGTTTCTTTTACTCCGGTGTTTATTAGGTGCTCCGAAGTGTTGGGGCCCTTAAGTGTTTGTCCCTTTAAAGTTTCTTTTGCTTGTGGGTGATATATGAGATTACAATATGCAGGAAGAATCGAACAAGAAAGGTTCAATCCTTTGACGCCCGTGGCATTTTCAAGCAATACGGATCTGAGGAATGGGGAGAGTATCTTATCCGTGAAGCTCATCTTTCACAAAGATTTGTGTTTGATGACAACGGATATTACCATTGTTGTGCTTCTATACCTTTCCCTGAAACATATGAATAGACTGATTTACAGACACTCGAGATGTACGTTTTCTTATCTCGGGTAGGGGACAATATGTATGTAATTAAGATAGGAAGTAGGCTTTGGTTAATAAATTCACTCTTGTTTTACTAGGTTTCAGACTGAAATTTGCAACTCCCATATTTTTGTGTTTCCTCTGATTAATGTACAATGACTTCAACTGGTGCTCCATTTCACCAAAGAATCATTTTTTCTTTCTTTCGGCATGGATCAGATATATTTGTTCATGTTTAAATTCCGTTGTGTCAACTTGTTACACTTGTCCATGGAGACCTTTGAAGTCTGAAGAACAGTGTAAGCTCAACTATAAACACTTGCATGCACATAGTTTCTTTAGCCTATAATACACTGACTGAAACCATTCATCAAGTGAGTTTCCCATATGAATCTTCAAGTGAGTTTCACATCAAATAATAGACTTTGAACCAAAATATTTATAAGAACCAAAACAAAGCATGTGAACATCAAATTTTATAAACACGATAGGATAACAAAACCAAAACCAAGGATACTGTAAAAACCTACAAACGAAACTGAAATATAATTAGGTATTTGGATAGCCTTCTAGTCAGTTTTCTTTGCATAGATGCTTAAGTAATTTTTCGGCTTGATGGTAACATTGCGTGCTACGATAACGTGGTGTTATGAGTTCACTCAAATGATAAATCTACTTTAACAATCAACTAAACTTTTGTACAAACGTAATCCAACATGGTGCCAAATGTCTCTCATCATAGAAGACATCTTCCATGGAATAATACTTTTTCTAGTAAACATTTGTATGTATAAGGTAATATTGTTATGCATTTCTCAATGTAATTTCTATTAAGGAAAAGACAACATTACTATGCATTGATTCATTTTCAGGCAATATTAACACGAGAGAAAATGAAACGCTTTAAAAATCCATGCATATTATTTAAACGTACACTATTATGTGTTATTGTTGGTGCTAAAACTAAACAGATAGAAATAGAAGTAACTTAAAGATGAGGTGGATGTTGAAGGTCAGTACCCTTAGTATGTGAGAGCATTCGGTAAGTAAATAGATATGCATACATAAGACAAAGTATGTGCTTCACCCGAATAATGGGCTACGTTCACGGAGAAGGATGTTCTCATTACGATAAAGTTGTACACATTGCACATAGGGTTAGACCCAAGGGGAAGAGGAAGAATGCCGAAGGCTGAAGGTAGGAAGGCTGAAGGCTGAAGCTTGTTTGAGTTCATAAAGAGATTTATGGAGGCGACACACAAGATTCTCCCCCTGTTGCCGAAGACCAAGAGGAGGAGACATATAGATTTCCTCATGTAAATCACCATGGAGAAAGGCTTGGTTCTGTGTTCTTGCTTGGTTCGATCTTATTTTGTAGGAAGGAGGCTGACTTAGCTTGTTTGAGAGGCAATCAAGTCTAAGGCCGCACGGAAGGAAGACTCCGAAAAAGTCATCCCGTGACACTTATCATCCTTGTTTGCCTTCTTTTCCTTGCTTGCATTCTCTTTATAGCTTGCCTTCTTGTCTTTGGAGAGCCAAATAGCTAAACCAACAACCAAGCCGATGTTGAGCACCCCAAGTCCGAGTTCGAGTCTGAGTTGCCTCTTGGTCGGAAGTGCTTTAATGATTCCATTGGTGTTGTCCAAGAAGGTCTTCACCTTTGGAACAATTTACTTCCTTCACCTTCAAAAAAACTTCATTGACATTTGAAAGTATTTATTCTTCATGCACCTTCTAAACGACTTCATTGACATTTGGAATCATTTCATGGATGCTTGAAATGATTTCATCAACCTTCTTAATTCTTTCAAAAACCATTTTTCCTCTTCTTTTTCTTTTTTCTTTTTTCTTTGATTTGTTTCTGTTCTCTCTCTCTCTCTCTCTCTTTCTTTCTCTCAACTGTTTGTTGGAGGACTTGTATTAAATAGAGCCGGGAGTGGGAGAGTGAGAGTGTTGAGTCTCTCTCTCTCTCTCTCTCCCTAGAATCTAATTCTTAACATGTCAAATTTGAATATAAAAAGTACACTAAACTATATACAAAATTGATCATAAAAAGTGTCATAAATAATGTGCTAAATTATCCACAATCATCTTATCTTCTCGAACTTTAAAATTGATGAAGCATATGCCAAATGTCTCTCATCATAGAAGACATCTTCCATGGAATAACACTTTTTCTAGTAAACATTTGTATGTATAAGTTAATATTGATTTAGGGAAAAGACAACATTGAATTTAATTGATATTAAGGAAAAGACAACATTGCTATGCATTAATTCATTTTAAGGCAATATTAACATGAGAGAAAATGAAACGTTTTAAAAATTCATGCACATTATTTAAACGTACACTATTATGTGTCATTGTTGGTGCTAAAACTAAACAGATAGAAATAGAAGCAACTTAAAGATGAGGTGGATGTTGAAGGTGAGGACCCTCAGTATGTGAGAGCATTCGGTAAGTAAATAGATATGCATACATAAGACAAAGTATGTGCTTCACTCGAATAATGAGCTACGTTCACGGAGAAGGATGTTCTCATTACGATAAAGCTATATACATTGCACATAGGGTTAGACCTAATGGGAAGAGGAAGAATGCCAAAGGCTGAAGGCTGAAGGCTTTTTGAGTCCCTAAAGAGATTTGTTGAGGCGACACACGAGATTCTCCCCCTGTCGCCGAAGACCAGGAGGAGGAGACGTATAGATTTTCTCATGTAAATCACCATAGAGAAAGGCTTGCTTCTGTGTTCTTGCTTGATTATGTGTTCTTGCTTAGTTCGATCTTATTTTGTAGGAAGGAGGCTGACTTATTTTGTTCGAGAGGCGATCAAGTCTTAGGCCGTACGGAAGGATGACTCCGAAAAAGTCATCCCGTGACACTTCTCATCCTTGTTTGCATTCTTCTCCTTGCTTGCATTCTCTTCATTGCTTGCCTTCTTGTCTTTGGAGAGCAAAATAGCTAAACCAACAACCAAGTCGATTCTGAGCACCCCAAGTACGAGTCCGAGTCCGAGTTGCCTCTTGGTCGGAAGTGCTTCAATGATTCCATTGGTGTTGTCCAAGAAGGTCTTCACCTCTGGAACAATTTCTTCCACTTGTGGAAGCACTTTCTTCATCTTCAAAACAACTTCATTGACATTTGAAAGCATTTCTTCTTCATGCACCTTCTAAACGACTTCAATGACATTTGGAATCATTTCATGGATATTTGAAATGATTTCATCAACCTTCTTAATTCTTTCAAAAACCATTTTTCCTCTTCTTCTTCTTTTCTCTTTTCTCTTTGATTTGTTTATGTTCTCTCTCTCCCTCTCTCTCTCTCAAATGTTTGTTGGAGGACTTGTATTAAATAGAGCCGGGAGTGGGAGAGTGAGAGTGTTGAGTCTGTCTGTCTGTCTGTCTCTCTCTCTCTCCCTAGACTCTAATCCATAACATGTCAAATTTGAATATAAAAAGTATACTAAACTATATACAAAATTGATCATAAAAAGTGTCAAATAATGTGCTAAATTATCCATAATCATCTTAGCTTCTCGAACTTTAAAATTGATGAAGCATATGACAAATGTCTCTCATCATAGAAGACATCTTCCATGGAATAACACTTTTTCTAGTAAACATTTGTATGTATAAGGTAATATTGATTTAGGGAAAAGACAATATTGAATTTAATTGATATTAAGGAAAAGACAACATTGCTATGCATTGATTCATTTTAAGGCAATATTAACATGAGAGAAAATGAAACGTTTTAAAAATCCATGCACATTATTTAAACATACATTATTATGTGTCATTGTTGGTGCTAAAACTAAACAGAAGGAAATAGAAGCAACTTAAAGATGAGGTGGATGTTGAAGGTGAGGATCCTCAGTATGTGAGAGCATTCGGTAAGTAAATATATATGCATACATAAGACAAAATATGTGCTTCACCCGAATAATGGGCTATGTTCACGGAGAAGGATGTTGTCATTACGATAAAGCTATATACATTGCACATAGGGTTAGACCCAATGGGAAGAGGATGAATGCCAAAGGCTGAAGGCTGAAGCCTGTTTGAGTCCATAAAGAGATTTGTTGAGGCAACACACGAGATTCTCCCCCTGTCGCTGAAGACCAAGAGGAGGAGACATATAGATTTCCTCATGTAAATTACCATGGAGAAAGGCTTGCTTCTGTTTTCTTGCTTGATTCTGTGTTCTTGCTTGGTTCGATCTTATTTTATAAGAAGGAAGCTGACTTAGTTTGTTCGAGAGGCGATTAAGTCTAAGGCCGTACGGAAGGATTACTCCATAAAAGTCATCCCGTGACACTTCTCATCCTTGTTTGCATTCTTCTCCTTGCTTGCATTCCCTTCATTGCTTGCCTTCTTGTCTTTGGAGAGCAAAATAGCTAAACCAACAACCAAGCCGATTCTGAGCACCCGAAGTCCGAGTCCGAGTCCGAGTTGCCTCTTGGTCGGAAGTGCTTCAATGATTCCATTGGTGTTGTCCAAGAAGGTCTTCACTTTTGGAACAATTTCTTCCACTTGTGGAAGCACTTTCTTCACTTTCAAAACAACTTCGTTGACATTTGAAAGAATTTCTTCTTCATGCACCTTCTAAACGACTTCATTGACATTTGGAATCATTTCATGGATGTTTGAAATGATTTCATCAACCTTCTTAATTCTTTCAAAAACCATTTTTCCTCTTCTTCTTCTTTTCTCTTTTCTCTTTAATTTGTTTATGTTCTCTCTCTCTCTCTCTCTCTCTCTCTCTCTCAAATGTTTGTTGGAGGACTTGTATTAAATAGAGCCGGGAGTGGGAGAGTGAGAGTGTTGAGTCTCTCTCTCTCTCTTTCTCCCTAGACCCTGATGAAGCATATGCCAAATGTCTCTCATCATAGAAGACATCTTCCATGGAATAACACTTTTTCTAGTAAACATTTGTATGTATAAGGTAATATTGTTATGCATTTCTAAATGTAATTGCTATTAAGGAAAAGACAACATTGCTATGCATTGATTCATTTTAAGGCAATATGAACATGAGAGAAAATGAAACGCTTTAAAAATCCATGTACATTATTTAAACGTACACTATTATGTGTCATTGTTAGTGCCAAAACTAAACAGATAGAAATAGCAGCAACTTAAAGATGAGGTGGATGTTGAAGGTGAGGACCGTCAGTATGTGAGAGCATTTGGTAAGTAAATAG